AGCGGCGGTCGCATGCTGCCACTCAGTCTGATGCATGAGCCTGTGATGCTGCTTGCACCCTGGACCAATGGTCGATATCCACTGCCCGCAGAAAACACAAAAGGTACGCAACGATTCAACTGTTTTCTCGTCAGAGAGTGGCCGGCGCCAGCTCTCGGCAAGCATGGAACAGAAATCCGAGGTTGCAAAAAGCGGCTGCTGTGCATCAAAAGCGACACCTGCTGAAGGCAGGCCCTCATTGCCAGTACCCTCAGCACCCCCGGAAGCTACCTTGACTTCGGGGGCTGGTGTCGACACTGCCGGATCATTCTGCAGCGAGTCGGAGCGTACCCGCGCAGGGCATCCACTATTGATATGCTTCTTAAGCCTAAAGGATTCACTGCAAAAGCGACAGGTAGGCATGCCATTCAAGGCATACTCGTTGTACACTGCTGCACTAAGGACACCGGTGGAACGTTGCTTGGGCGCTTTGTTGACGGAGGGAGTTTCAGCAGGTGGGGCTCGCTGGTGTGTCCTAGCTCGATGCGATCGCATATGCCTATGGTGTGTGAAGTAAACTCCACAGTCTGGGCATGCCACACCCCGAAACAGGCTACTTGAGTCTTTGGCCAGTAGCTGAGAAGAATCTCCCGGCAGTTGTTCCAGCTCCTTGAGCCCGGCAGTGAACCAACTGACACTATGATCTTGTCTACTATGCTGACTTCGCCTCCGTAGCATTTGGCTCAGGGCCTCGCGGGGAGAGGCGACTTTCAGCCGAGATCTCAGGCTGGAATTGCTCTCCCTGGTAATGTGCACCGGCGAGTTGGCGATTGCCCGGAGTGCACGTGCGTCGTATGATTCTAGACGACGAAGGACTTCGGCTGTGATGCCGATTGCATGTAGTCCGAACATCAAAGTGCTACGCACACAAGCCACATACAGACGCACACGGCACCGGATGGAGAGCCGTTTGGCATGCAGGACACGCAGCAACCGTTGCCGATTGTGGATGGCAGCCTTACGCCGATGCTCATAAGTTTGTGTCTCAAACCTCCCATAGGAGACCACCACACCGAGATAAACCATGTGGTTGACACGTGGGATGATAAGGGGAGACCCGGGAACCCCTAGATTCAGTGCCGGCTGGCCGTCCACAAAACAGGCGTGTCGCTTGATCCAGCGTCGGGCGGCACTCCCACGAAGTCCCAGAACTATGCAGGATTTGGTAGCATTCACCTTCATCCCTGTAGACTCGAAAAGTCGGAAGAGTATCCTAATAGTGCGGAGCGCTATACCTAAATCCTTCAAAGATTCGATCTGGAATGAGGCGTGGCTGTCGTCCGCATATAGGGTCATCAGCTTCTCCGCCCAACTGGCAGAAGTTGCCGCCGCCAACTGATCATAAATCCAGCAGCTATACAGAGTGAAAAGCAATGGGCTAAGGACACAGCCCTGGCGAACACCTTTCTCTAGCGCGAAGGTTTTGCTGTGCTGGCCATGTCGCACGGTGTATTTGCACTGCTGATGAATCGAAATGATGGCGATTTGCAACTCCTTTGGTATGTTCGCATGTGTCATAGCAGCTTCCAAGGACCAACGGGGGAGTTCATCAAAAGCTCGACTCAAATCAACACTTAGCATGAGTCCCCCAAAGCATGTACTTTCGCGAGCTCCCTCCCGGCGTGCGTGAACACTCAGGGTGCCATGCTGAATCCGACTACGAACATGTCGACAGTGACTTGCCACCCTACAGACCGCATCATCGAGTGCTTTACTAGGACAATAAGCAAACTGCGGGCGTTCACTTATATAATCAATGACATACGGCATGACACGGGCTCGAAGCACCAGTGCAAGAACCTTAGCACTGGGATCCTGAAGGCCCAGTGGCCGCAGATCCTGCGGCCTACGACCAGCCTTGCCTGGCTTGGGCAACAGCGCCAGTGAGCAACAAGTGGCTTCATCCGGATACGTATCCCCAGCTTCATAGCTACTTTGGAAAACCCGAGCACTAAGTTTTGCTACCCCCTCTGGTTGCAACAGCCAGACGTCCGCCGGCAAGCTTGCTTCTGGCACTGCTTTGCCCGGTTTGAGCTGTCGCACAGCATCGCAGATCTCGGCTTCGGTAAACGAAAGCAGCACGTCAGACTCCGGAATGCGGTATTCGTGTGGAGAGCTGAATGCCTGTTGAAAATAGAGGTGGATCTCATGGAATTCCTGTTCAACAGAGAGGAGATGACCTTGTTTGGAGCGAATGCGCACCTTCTCTCGTTTACGCTTGGGAGCAATGAGGTTAATTACCCTATAAACCGAGCCTAGGTCATTCCTGGAGGCTGCCGTCTCTGCCGCACTGATTTGCTCCTCGAGCCACTGGCGCCGCCTGTGTTGGCCAGCAGCCCGAAGAGCACGGCCGGCTTGGCGCAGATCTGCCTGTCTCTGCGCCGAAGCCGCCGCTCGCTGAAAAGCTGTCATCCGCGTGTGTGGAGTGTGCGACCTATACACACTCCACACATGCTCAATCGCCTGCTTTACAGCAGTGGACTGGAGGGTGCTGGGAGGAGTCTTACGATTACAGGGAAAGAGGCGTTGGCAGTGCGGGAGCATGCGGCGATTGAGCGCCTGAAAACTGCACTTGTCCGAGGCTAACAGCCCCTCAATCTCTGTGACCAGGAGCTGCTGAAGCTCTTGTGCCTCTGCAGTATGTTGCTGCACACTATGCCTTAAGGCTTTAAGGGAGAAACGAAGGGGCTTATCAACCTTAGGAGTAAGTTTCCACCCGGGGACCCAGGGTAAGGTGGCTGCTACCGCATTGTGCTTAGGGCCAAGGCGCCATGGTGCCAGGTCCAGTGCCACCGGTTGTGCAGTACGGGCCAGAGCATCAGCATGCTTCTTCCTGGTGGCAATGAAATCAATTTGCGTCGTGACTGAGCCATTCCTGAAAGTGCCACAAGCAGACTCAGCAGCCCTACTCCATGTGTTGAGTAGAACAAGACCCTGATCCCGAATTAACTCCTCAAACTCTGCATCAGGAGTCCTTGTGGTGCGAAGGACTCCACGACCGATATGGCCAGCTAAAGGTCTACAGTGGGTATTCATGTCTGCACAGAGAGCTAACAGGTTGCGAGCCGGCAGCCCCTGCAGCAGAACACCCAGCTTGGTCCAGAAATGCGCGCGCTTCCTAGCGATCTGCTCCTGCTGCTTGGCCTGCCAAACCCACTGATATCCAGCTACCAAGTCCAGCGTGAGCTGCGGTGATTGACATCTTACGTGTAATAAGCGCCCCGGAATCCAAGTAACCGAACTCACCTGCTCATCCACGAAAACAGAACGCCTCAAGAAAACCGCAAGACCACTGTAGCGCTGCTTCTCATCCGCAGTCGTCACGACGATCCACCCTGGCAGTTGCCAATGACCGTCGGAACGGCCGAGGCCATGATGTGTCTCCTGAAACACCACCACATCTGCACTGCACTGATGGTGCAGCCAATCTTTAATCAGATCATAGCATTCACTTGTAATCCCGCCGATGTTGTAACTTTGTATCTTGAGCCTACGCTGTGCTTGTTTGCCAGGAGGTGGCTTTCTGGGAACCAGACCACTCGATTCTAGATGAACCCCAGCTCGTGTGCCAAGCGAGTGCGCACTGCACCAGCGACCACGATACCACGTGCCTCCAGTCTGTTCCGCACGTCGTCGGGCTCTGCGATACGCTGTTTGCGATTGTTACTCCAGGTAGGACCGGTTTGAGGCCCCTTGCCAGGTATTTTCACCTCCTTGTCGGAGGCTTCCAGGGCCGCTGTGGAACGGCCACCAACCCTCGGGTTTAACTGCTCGTCTTCGCCCTTATCAAGATCATACCTCGAAGCAGTTCGGGGGAATTGGGACCCCCGCGGCTGGACTGTTGGTCGTCCTGAGCAGCCTGTATTCATCACGCAGAGTAGAGTGCCAGCGAGAAGAAAGCAACGCACAGCCATCAACCCTCACAGCAAGGCACTATGCAGCAGCTCACGCTCCAGCCGAAACCCTTAGTAGTAGTAGTAGTAGTAGTAGTAGTAGTAGTAGTAGTAGTAGTAGTAGTAGTAGTGGTAGCAGGAGTATGGTTTCCCCCCCGTTGTGCGACGGCAAGACCTATCATTTGTCAGGGGAACTTCAGT